TCACCTTGCAGGTGCAACTATGTGACTTTGATCCTGGATCAAGTGTTTAAGTCATGGATGTTTAAAGTTTAACGTCTTCATATTTGTCTAATTATATAGTTGACTTTCCATTCAGGAAGTATGACGCTGCGCTGTCAGTACGCTTGTCCATGTTTGTGATTGGTCGAATGCTCCAAATACCACCCCTTTCATGTGAACGCGCACCTAAATAGATAGGGTACGGCTGGCTTGAGTTAACGAGTTGATAACCAGCGTCGTAGGACAGTTTAGGGAGAGCGCGTTTGTTTTGGATTAGCTAAACCGGGTAACTCAAACATATCCAGGTTAGGTTGAACCGGCTTCGTAGTACAGGCCTCAGGTTATACAGTCAAAATGACAAAGTGTTTTTTAACCACTAGAGGGTGCTAAAGGCTCAATGAATAAACTTTGAGAATCAGAATACCTTTAGTGAGATCCACGTTGTTAAACCTCAGTAAGGCTGGACTCAGAAGCAAGGATACAAAAGAGCAAATCCTCAATAATATAAATGATATTATCTGATTCATACAACAACATTACAAAGTTGACTTTTATTAGAGAGAAACACACCACCTGTAGCCTTCTCTTTTATACTAGGGGTATTTATTTATCTCTCTAATTTCATCTTAAACACAAACAAAACACCTACTGTGTTACAAACTATCTCCTCTCTGTCTTCTCAGGAGTACTTTCATCTTTAGCAGGTTGTCACATCTTCACAAACCTTCATCTCCGTAGCGTGGGATCACAGGAATCTTTCCTTGTAGTTAACCTCCTCCAGGTTTTGATTCGTTCAGTGTTGATACATCTGGAGGTTTTTACTTGGAGCTAAATAAGACAAGATAAGATAGAGCTTTATTGTCTCCCTTAGGAGAAATTTGTCTTGGGCATCGAGATAATACACATAAAACATTCAGGTCAATCAGTCATAGATACAGAACAGAGATCACATATCACATGGCAAAGAAACAAACAAGAAACATACGCAAATGACACGCAGAGGCACTCCAAAACAAATGAACCAGGCTATTCAAACCGATTAAAAAGTCATGTTATTAATCAGTTTTTCTCTGACGCTGTTCAGCTGCCAATAACATTTGCCCAATTTCTTTTTACTGATGACTTCACACTCAGGTGTCCAATGACTAAAATCCTTTACCCAGTTAAATTATATAATAGAAAATGGCCAAAATCAAAAAAGGTTTGCTAAAAATGTGGCATATCTAGACAAACTGCTCCTAGCAACCACAATGCCGATGTGTTGCCATTACATGACACAGATTAAAACAAACGGTTACCATGGACATACCTCACAAACTGACAGACCTCAACTAAATATATTCTATTGTAGACGTTTTTATACATTTCAATGCGGATATGTCAAATATTATACCTTTTTTTATTGTAAGGAATTGAATATACCAAAGATGAAAACTAATTGTGTGTTTCAGGCAGCCCTTGTTTTCCTGCTCAGATCTACGGCAGGGACCGGCGCTACTGGAGGAAGTACATCCAGTTTGACTTCAACCAGCTCATCAGACTGGCCACTCAGGAGATCATTCACTTCAAGTGAGAGACCAAATGTGCACACACAGACACAGGTGTGCACATACGCAGGTGTGCACATACACAGGTGTGCACATAGACAGGTGTGCACATACACAGGTGTGCATCAATCACTTACTCACTCACTTGTGAGGTCGGGTTTCAATAGATTTGGCCAGAAACACCTGTTTTGTATATAATATCACGTTGATGATCATGTTGAATGAATTTATCTGCTGTGTTTTCTAAAATGTTTAGTTTTTATACGTATTTGAAGTAAAAAAGAAAAAAGAAAATGAAGTGGTCTGTAATAAAAAATAAAATATTTGTATTTTTCTAGCTCGGTCTGGCCCCCATTTATTTGTAATGCCTCAGGAATATGTCTTTGAATTTGTGTCGCACAGATGAAAAGCTCTTATTTGTTTTTAGTGGCTGAGGTTAGGACATGGAATGAAACGTCTTGACCCAGAAATGGACTGATATGAGGCAATCAAAATGGGAGTAACAACAAAGTGGAATTTATCTTACTGGTGTAGCATGTCACTGTAAACTCCAAAAACTTTAATAATTTATTATTTAAGTAAACATTAAGTTTTATTGATGTGTTTTTATACACATGACGTTTTCCCTGATTTCTCTCAACTTTGTTAAATATTTACACATCTCCACTCAAGACTCCCTTTGTTTCCAGTCTTTAGCTTAGCATAAAGACTGGAAACAAAGGGAAACTGCTAGCATGGCTCTGTTAAGAGCTCACAAATTGTGCTGACCAGCTTCTTTCCGGGCGTGATGCTAAGCTAACCGTCTCCTGGCTCCAGCCTCACATTGAACATATCGGCGTCATTTAACTCTGAGCATCAAGGGGAAATAAGTGTACTTTTCTGAATCAATTCAGAGGACCAGGATAACATCAAACCTCTGAATGGGAAAGGAATGTCAAACATACAACATGCTTAAAATAATTGTCATGCAAATCAGCTAAAGAGCCATAACATGTTCTATAAAGTGAGTCAAACGAAACAAAACTAATATCAGGGAAGAGAACAAGCAGTTACTTGAGGTTCTTTCCTCGCTGTGTTTTAACGGTGGACTCTGGCTTATACATATCTGCTTTGACTCTGACACCATGTCATAAAATGTGAAGAAATCTGCCTAATGAGCATATATATGTATATACTCAGGAGTATTTGGCTTTAACCTCTAAACTCTTAGAATTAGAGCTTTAAAAGGTGCAAACAACCCTTAGACTAACTGCTGTGTTCATTTTCCCACCTTCTATTCAATCAAATTGATATTTAGTATAAACATCCATGTGACGATATACATTATGACATACTGAAGCTCTGGTGGAAACAGGAAACAGAAAAAAGAAAACGGGGCCATAAAGCCTGCGTTTTCTGGGAAGTGTTAGGTAATGGTCGGTGACAATGATTGAAGCGCAATCGATCGCCTCTCTTCTGTAATGTTTGTGATTGAACAAGAGCGTTTCCTTGGCAGCTGCAGATAAGACCTACAAAAGGAAATTGATGTGGTAAAGAAGATCTGCATATCTTTCATGGGATCTCATCACAAAAGGCATTTTTCACAGCATAGGAATAATAGGAAATGCAGTGCAACAATGTGACAGTGAGTCACCCTGCTTAATACCTTGAAGCGGAAGCTCATGAAACCAGGCCATTACTCACTTTTATTGGTTGCAAGGTTTTCCTACTGAAACATGAAAGGGTCTTGTGTAAAAAAAGTGTCTTTGACCTGTTGCCATAGTCTGTCTGACGTAATTAGAGTTGGAGTGCGGGACTTTTACATATCAATGAACATCTACTACACCCTTTCCAAATGAGTTCACACAAAGGGATTTAGCGCCGCCAGGGAAAGCTCTCTGTATCTCTTGTATACCGGAGTGGTGAATGTATGCCTGCAGGTATGTCTTTTGAGCATCATCTCCCCTTAACAGCAGTTATTTACTGATACACTCACTTTTGATGCAGCTTTTTATGTCACTGCATCCAAAACTTATTTAAGAAGTTTATAAACCACATAAATCCAGATAGGCAGCATAATCCAACAGTAAAAGTCTGTCTCAAATTCGATTTTTCGGTCTGTAAAGTCTGCTTGTGTTTACCAATGCCACTGTTAAAGATGTTGTATGCAGTATAAAGTACGAGAAGCTCAAAGGGCTAGTTTTAGAGGTAATTATCAAGTGTTTTGTTGTGAGGGTAAGTTAAAGGACTCCAGGGGATCGTAAAACCTCAAAAAACGTAAGTTGAAAATGATTGTTGCTTTTTGTTGCTGACATAAGGGAAATCCATGTTTCCTCTGTCAGCAGCTTCGTGCTGTAATATACAATTTGGTTTTTACAGCACATCCTTAAAGGATCAGTAGATAACCTAAATGTTGTCATTAAATGGGTCAATTTGTCTTAGGAAGTGAGACGCTTGTCATATATGGTTACATTTACAGTATGCATGTTAATAATATGTCTGTGTGAGCTGAGTTGTCAGCGGACTCTGTCCCTAAAGGAGACACTCACTTACCTGCAGGTTGAGGAGATTAAATGAGACAGATAAAGAGAAAGTCCAAACAGAAAGATTGAAAAAGTAGATGGAACAAAAGCTTAAACCCCTGATAGAGTTAATTCATGTTGATTGAAAGGTCTCACAGAAATTACATAATTGGGTTTTGAAAGAGTTTTAATTTTCCAAACTAAGCTTAAAACAAAGACATATACCATACTGTAAATAATAATATATATTAACACATTAAATGTTGTACATTTTACTTTATTAAAATCTCAAAAAACAGTACAAATCTGTAGGCAACTGGACAAGATATTTGGTATTGGAAGCGCTTTGGTTTCTGTGTGCAGTTCGATAAGTGTTCAACATTCCCCTTAGAGCAGCCTTTGGTTGAATGCACATACATAGTCTAAGGGAGGAGCCACAATGGGGGACATATGGCAGAAATGTTGGCTAAGCTCTGGTGAAGGAGTGAAACTGGTAAAAACAGGAAATAAATAATTTGCACTTCCAAAATCAGTGAACACATGGAGGAGATGCTACAAGCTTAAGGCTAACTTAAAATCCAGATCACCCATCATCAAAAATGTCCATCGTTTTAAATAGAGTCTTATCTTACCTCATCTCATCTGATGAAAAAGTGTAGTTAAACCCACCAAAATCCAAAAAGTGTATTGTAAAAATGTGTCAATTTATGACAACTTCGGGCAGACAGCCACCATCAATTGCTACATATTGTATCTAAGTCTTTAAGGCAACAGCACATTTCAAACACATTGAATGATTAGTTTTCCATCTGCAAGGTCCTTTATTAAGCGCTTTGAGCACCAGGAAAAGCGATATATAAATAACATGTATTATTATTATTATTATTATTATCCTTTCTTGGGTGGAAACAAAGCGCCAGCTTTAAGCCTTTTTATGAATAAGGGCCATAAACACCATCATGTTACTGTGAAAGTTGTTCAAAGATTTTCCAATCTGCATAAATGATAACAATGACATGTGCCGTGTGAGACCGTGGGATTCTTGACTGGTTTTAGAAGCTGATTCTCTCCTCATAAAGTGACAGCAGCAACAGAATACCCCACCCGCTCAGCAGGCCGACGTTCTGCAGCAGGAACATCAGCCAGGGTCTCTTGTTGCTGATGTGGACCATGGTGGGCAGCTAGAAGGAGAAAGAGGAGAGATTTCAGTTTCTATTGTGATGCCAGCTACAGTAAATGTTGTCCTTAAAGACAAGTACTCACCATGTCAGCCAGCCCCACATACAGGAAGAGTCCTGCAGTGATGGCAGCGATCCACTGCTTGGTGGCGAGGTCGGTGGCTACAGACAGAGCGATGTACAGACCCACGAACGAGGTCATGGCACTGCCGACGTTTAAGAGCAGAGCCTTGCGCACAGACACACCGCTGTGGAGCAGAATGGCAAAATCACCTGTAGAGAAAGTTAGTAAAGTTTATTTTAGTATTGAATCTTTCATAGAAGAAGATCACGAAGGAATGCAAATTACACAAATGTGACGGCAATGACAAAACAAACATAAATAGAATATGATGGACAACGTGAAAGTCTAACTTCTGACTGTTGGCACTTAAAATGTTCTCATTGAGTTTGTACAGCAGACAAAAGAGGCTTTCATAGAAGTTATTTTTGGGAATTTGTGCTCATTCAATGTTTGTGATGAAGACAGTTGTTTCCCTGACACAAAAATAGGATTAATTAATAGAAAATAAACAGAAAAGCATCTGCATTGGTATCTGCATTGCCAAAATTGGTATTCTAAAATGTCCATATGGCGCAACAACAGACCTTAAAAACGGACTAAAAAACACAATCGCTTAAGGCGAGACAGAGGGCAGTTTCAATATGTTTATGGAACACAACAAGAGCAACAGGCTGATGTAGTCTCTGTGTGTTCTTTACCCAGTTCATGAGGTAGTTCATGGCAGAGAACAGCGAGTGACGTGGCCAGACCAGACTTCCATGACAGGGAGAAAGCTGCACCCATCGCTAAGCCGTCTGCGAAGTTGTGGATCCCGTCACCGATAGTTATCATGTAGGGAAGCAGACGCTGCTCTGTGGAGGCAGACGGTGTAATGGTTAGTGGCAGACTCCATGATCAGCACTATAATCACAACTTGATGATGCCGTGTTTTTGTGTTGGAGATAGCTCACCTCTGGTGCGCTCTTTCTGATGGGAATGAGATTTCTCATGTTCTTCAAAGCTAACCTGAAATGCACATGTTACATTAAACACTAACAAGTCCTGTTATTTTATTGATGTATTAGTTACATAGTATTAGCTCAGGGTTTCCTCACACAGCTCTCAGCATTTTAAGAAATAGCATTTTCCTCAAGTATTGCTTGTCCAAAACATTTCAATTATTTGTACTTTTTACCAAAGGGGTAAACTCCTTAAACTGCACAAAATAACTAGATCCACTTTTTATAAAGCAGTTGCTTTTGAATATTTGTGCTCCACGTTTAAACTCCAAGCGTTAATGTATGTTTCTTACCAGGTCTAGTTTTGATGCTGACTCTGACTTGTCCTTTTGTTTCCTATCTTGTTGATACATTTCTAAAACCCTGCCATGGTCACAGTGATGAGGCTCTGATTCTTCCTAACAGAGAGAGAGAGAGACAAAATAACGGTTTAAGTTAGCTTGAAGGAAGGTTAGAGGGAAAGGAAAAAAGGACTTGAGAATGTGAGGAACAGGATATTTTGTGATGCAGTGAATGTGAAACTCAACTTGAGAAAACGAAGCCAAACATATTTAAGGAATAAATGCAGGACATCTGGGTTTTATTTTTACATTACAAGTCCATTTTTCCATGGCTCTTAGGCAACTTTTTCTTCAGAAATCTTGAAGTTCAAACAAAAGATAAGCTCCCAGTAGGTTCCATCTTTTTATAAGACATTTTCGAAAAGTCACAACATTTGAATCTAATGAAAACCAAGAATGGCGGGTCCGTATTTATATTCCCATCATCCTTATTCTGTGTTTTATTATTTTATTCTCTTACCCCATGATGATGTTGATGATGATGATGATTATCTTTATACGCCACCAGAGAGAAGATTGTTTCCATCAGATAAAAGTAGTAGATCCCGCCAATCAATACCAACATCTTGTAAATGTAGTCCGGCATTTCTTCGTGGCTGCTGGCGTTGTCTGAATGCACGTGTAGACCTAGGAACTGGACACACAAACCACAAGAATAAGTCAAAAATGAATATATACTGCATGAAAATCACCAAAACTGAAGACCTGATTGTCTTATAAAGGTTTTTTCTTGCTCACCATGGGTAGCAGATGCAGTAAGGCGTCTCCGGTCAGTGAACCCACAGCGAGGCTGATGCAGAACTGGATACACAGCTGGAACATGCTGGTGCACGAGGTGCACAGCAGCAGCACGATGCCAAACATGGACGTCAGCGTTATCACCACATTAGCAAGGGTGGCATACAGGTACTCTGCAGGAGTAAGCGAGAATACAAAAGGGGGATGGAGGTGAGTTAGCAACATGTCAAAAAGGGAAATATCTTATATTTGGAAGTACTACCGGACGCCTTTATGTATATTTGGGAAAAATGAATGTAAAATCAGCCTTCATTAATGCAATCTGGTAACAAAACAGAATAAGGTTTATTATTTTAGATTATTAAGAAGCTTGAAGATCAGAATCTTTAAAGATTGCATAAATCAAATGCATTTGTTAGTTTGTTTTATTGTTTTGATTGTTTCATGCTTGTTTTCTTTTATTGTATTGTATCCATTGTTCCAGTCTAATCTGTAAATCACTTTGGGTAAGAAATGGGATTTATAAATGAATTCGCCTTGCATGCTTACGCAATAAGCGTCTTTGGGTACAAGAAAAGCGCTATAGAAATACAATTTATTATTATTATTATTAATAACAACCTGAGAATGCTTTGAAGTGCGACTTTGTTCTTGCTTTTTCTAAGTTTTTTAAATTACAGATGAAAGCAAGATCCCTGTTGTTTTTGAGAACATGCACACTCACTCTCAGTCACGGTGAGCTCATCATGTGTCAGAGGGTCTGTGACCTCTGCACAGGCTCCGCTCAGGATCTGCTGGACCAGTGCAGGGCTGAGCTGAGCCAGGCCGATCTGACCCAGACCGGGGGGGGCAGAGCTGTTCTCTGCCAGGCTGTGGATCAGGACCAGCTCTTCAGCTGAGAGACACAGCTGGAGAAACATTTAGGCACAAAGGGTTAAGATAAACTGTAGTGTTAACTCTAACATGCTGCATGTGTCCACAACATTTACTTTATCACAATGCTCATATCACATGCATATAAAATCAACTATGTTGTAAGTTTGGCTGATCATTCTCCTAAAATAATTTGTTTCAGTACATTGGTATATTTACCTTATCCCAGGTGGTGTTTCCTGCATGGCCCTCGTGACGAGTATGGCCGCTCTTCCTCGTCCGTCTGAAACCGCTATGATCGTGATCAGCATGTGAGTCTGTGTGTCCGTGTTCGTGCTGATGTTGGTTGTCAGGTCCGAGTTTCAGACTCTTCATGAGAGCCTCCAAATCTACACATCACAAACACAATACACATTGCAGCAAAACCTCTCAAGAATTAAAATGGCTTTGAGAAAAAGACTTTCCCTAATGTTATCAAGAAAATAACCATGATGTGTGCTCATGAACAGAAAGTAAATCACTAGATACAAATCTAAAGACAAAATCAGAGACTTCCTAAGACAGCATAAAGCGGTATTGTTATTTTGCAGAAATATAAAAATATAAAAGGAAAATAAGTGCTAAAGTTACTTGAATTACATGCATTTATTGCTCAAATAATATAGTAGCAATATATGACAGAAATGATTCTTAGATGTTATATTAAAGAGGCAAACCTTTATTGTCTACTGTTAATTCCACAGTAGATTAAAAGACCTATGAAATTGAATTCAAGACAATATACCGGTAATACGCTTTTAAGCTTACATTGTGGAAACCCTGAAAAGAACTTCTAAAAACATAAAATACATCTTTATTTAAACCTCTATTTACAGTGTATGTGTTTTTCTATCACTATATGTGGCCCTGAATGTGTTTCTGTGTTTCTGAAGGACCTTTACCCTCGACAGTGAAGTTCTCCGATCCCAGGCGCTCCATGATGTCGTCCATGAAGAAGCTCTCCTCAGGCAGGGCCCGGCTGATGAAGCAGTGACCTCTCAAGGCGTGGTACAGGACGCGACCCAAAACTGCCCCCACTTCCTGTCCCTTCTCTGCTGGGGATGCACTGACCTCTGTCATGATATCACTGGCTGTCACACACCTCTAGTTACCATAATGATACGGGAGACAAAGAAAGAAGGTATGGAAACAACAAAAGAGATTTTAATCAAAGCAGGACACATTTAAACAGCTTAACAGAGCTATTTTACAACGTATCTCGTATCATTTCTAGCATTGCATTTTCAGTTTCTATAATACAGCAGTAACCAACCATCATGCTGACAGTTGCTACAGTGATGTGGCTGAGTACAGGGCAACGCCTAGTCGGTGTACTGCATCACCCGGTATGATAAGATATGTCGAGTGATAAATGCTGCCATGAACTCACTAAAACACTCCCTTGAAGGGAAAATACAACTGAGATGATGTTCCTCTTTGAATGAATGACATTTTTTAGAAAGCAAGGTATTTTTAAAACTGGCTCTCTAGTTTAAAATAAAAAGTTAATTATGGTCTTCAGTTCCTGTAAACCATGTAAAGCTGTTACGTGTATTCACTTGTCCCCAACCTTTTTTGCTTGTGACATTTAATCGCCAAGCAATGTCCTCAGGCATCACCTCAAAACAGAGCTGAGATAAGTCATTTATCTAGAGTAATATATCCTTCTTTAATAGTTGCGTAAGTGAAGTCCAGGTAAGGGTCACCTCAAGGGTTTGACAGTAATTGTTGAGTAGTCTTTGCTGTTGTGTTTATAATCTTGTTAGGAGCAAAAGATTAGACAGCGATGATAAACCAGTACTAATATTATTTACAATACAATATGATGAATATAGTACACTTTTAAATACTTTGTTGTATGTTTACCTCACTCTCCATGGGCACATATTGGTGATGAAGCTTTTGAAGCAGCACCTTTAATGCATGAACGTCTATGTGCTCGTGTTGATGTTCCTGGTGAGGCCCGCTGTCTCCATGCTGGTGCTCCTGATGGGTGAGTTCATGAAGGAAACGTTCGGCCTCCTCTCCCCACCTCCCCTGCCTCACCGCGCTGCACACCAGGCCGGGGGAGGAGAGGTAGAGCACACACCCGGCAGCCACATCAGTGAACTGAGACACACTGATTGCGTTTCCAGTTCCATTGCTGATCAGCTGGTGAACAGCATCTGTTAAATCACACTACGCACAAAGAAAAACACAGAAGAAGGTAAGTGAAAGAATGAAGTAGCTATGTGCGTTATTTTCAGTGAATAACAAAAAAACACATACAGAAAAAATGTTTAAGATGAACTTGTTTATGTTACTACCACATAACTTATTCATATCACTTAAAGATTCCACCAAACACAAGAACATATTAATTTGGAGAGATATATATGCACAATTCTTCAACCACGTCCTGCAATGTAACAATCCTGGATATCAGCTGCTTTTATTGCTTTTCATAAGACACATCTTGTTCAGATAGCAAGAGGGATAGCTGGCTACAATATAAATCAATATACCATGTAGCCTGACAATGATACATCCTGACCTATAAACTGTGGTTTAATATATATCTTTCCCAGGCTTTCACAGATTTTCACACAGATTAATCACATTTTGGTTTTTCGGTCGAAAAAGTTGTTTTCAAGGAACAGTGTCCCAATGAATCTGTCTTAAAATCTCTGAGACTTCAGCTTCTTTTGCAATTTTAAATAAAGAAAACTTAAACTATTTATTTTTCAATGCTTTGAGAAACACACACACACAAAAAAAAATTCTCAGTTGTATTGTAATGGTAGGCGAGGAAGATTGATAAATATCAGTACAGGTAAGGGGAAAATACATTTAAGTGATTGTGGTTGACCCACATCTATTAAAATACAAGGTCAAACAGTTGACATGACATTTAAGGCTTTTACAGTAGGTCAAATGGGGTTTATTATTTTACTGAACCTCTTGAAGGTTTTAATGACCTTTTTATAACACTTGGTGGTAACCCATATAACAAGCTGTTGTCAAATTCATTTGATGTCAGTTCTTTATTAGTAGAATACAGTGTGCTATAATCCAAGCCATTGTCTTTGTTCATTGTGTTCACCAACAGCCACCAGATTAGGTTGACATTTATCAGCCACGCAGATTACAGATGACATTTAGGAAGTTCAGGGACTTCACTCCTGTTCACACTGATAAAGTGTCCTGCAAACAGCGCCCTTTATATAAGTAGTGGTCTACAGGTAAAAATATGAATCACCTATTTATAGAGTTATCCTTTTGTTTGTATTTGAAAACACATTATTTATACCTTTAGTCAGATTAAAAAATTTAAATAGGACTAGTTCTACCATTCAGAAGAATCATTTTGTAATTTCATACACATACATTGCAGAAGCTACATTACTACATTAAAGCACAGTATTACTCTATGTGAGGTCTTTTAAGTAATACGGGTCCTATTTGTCTAAAGTTTGCCCTAATAACGTGACTGAAAGCTGAATATTACATTATGACTGCATTGGAACAAAGCAGAGCCATAATGCCTCCAAAGAAAAAATATTATAAAAATCATAATAATAACCACTGAGAAATATAAAAGGATAAATCTCTAATTTCATTTGCGATATTCAGTAAATTCCAGATTACATGGCAAAATCTGAATTTGCTGACAAACCTAAAAATGTATCATTATATTTGTAATACAAATAAAAATAGGAATTGCAAACATAATTATAATTACCATCTTCCTCATCACTATTGTATCAACATTTTGTATTAAAAAAATCAAAGTGTGATACAAATATTTCCGAAATAGTTTTATAATCGCAGGTGCGAAAAAGCAGGTGCGCACGGCACACACAATCCATCTATTAGGCCTTCATGTAACAAAAATCACATATAATTAAATAATGAAATTGTGATAAACACAGAATTGGATATTTAAAGGCTTTGGCTTCAACCAAAACCAGTATAATTATTCAATCCTCAGTCGATTAATTGAATAAAATATGATAATATATATTTTTAATCCATTAAAAACTATTAACATGGTGGCTGTGGATAAACAGTAACAGTTAGTAACTTGGACCTCGACCTTTCTCTGCACACTGCGGCAGACACTTGGCTCTAACCTGGCTGCGGAGGAAAGCCTAATAAAACTCACCTTTCCACACGACACTTCGCTGCACTGCACACGTTTCTCGAGTGTATTAAAGACCGAGCCGAGGGACTCCTCTGTCAGATACTCCTGTCCGGGAGACACGATGCTGAGCACCGCCGCGTACGCTTCCCCCACGGCGGGAGACCCAGAAACAGACCCGAACCATCCCAAACTGGCAAGTATCAGCAGCGCGGAGGAATACATCTTTAAACTTTCTTAGGAACTAATTTTATATTAATGGATAAATTAAAAAGAATCAAACAGACACAGACACACTGGTTCCGTCCCTACTGTATGTATTTCTACAGGCACATTGAGCTAAAAGAGCTCAGCTCACAGCTGTTATCAGTTTTAAACCTCTGCAAGTTCACAGCTCCTGGATTGTGATTGGCTGAGATGAGGCTGGCTCTGTCATATACCTTTCTATGAAACCCTTTGTCACCTGTAAAGGGAGAGCAGGCCTCTACTGCACACCGATAGGAATGTAGGCTACAAAATCAGATTTCAGGATTGGTTTGTTTTGCATAATTTTGCTCACCTGCTTTAGATGCATCTTTAATCAATGTTAGATCTTAAAAACAAGACAACTTTTATGCTGATGATGACCATATTATGTATGACAGGTCATATCATTTGTAGCCAATAGGAGTCAAACATTTCCACTGTGGTTCTGTACATGCACGTGAGCATCCTGATTATGTGTTGACACCTATCCATATTTAAGAAACCTGGTTCGTATCCTAGTTTTTCACAATATTAGCCATTGGTATTATTCCATAGAAACCGTGGTATACTTTGCCAAATTTGCCAATCAATAACTTTCGTTGAGAAATTATTAATTCCTGAAAAAGTATCTTTCACAAACATGCCACCAATTTAACAACTTGTATCCCTTTTCCTAGAAAGTATTTCAGGAAAATCATCTGGAACCATACTTTCAGAGGAGTAAACAAACTGATATATAAAGTCCAAAGGACAGATGTTATAGAGTTTGTAGATTATTGTCACTCACGAGGGTTTAAGCACTGGGTTGTTTTCATTGAGCAATCACATGTTTCTCAACTTCATAGAATAACTCTTAACACTAAAGGTAGACCTAAAGTCCTGCTTTAGTCTTACAATGTAAACTTAAGCTCTGAAGAATACAGTAATAACAATAAAAAACTCATTATGTCATGCAAAAGTAATAAAAGAGTCATATTATATGGTAAAGGGCTGCAGAAGCGAGGCCAATGGACTGACTTAATTGAAATATGTCCTTGACAACAGTCTGTTCATGATTATAAGTCCCTATGATCCCTATTATCCTATATGAAGACATTTGGAACTCCTCTATATAACTGTGCGTGTGTGTGTGTTTTACTGTATTGACCACCAGGTGGTGCAGTTGCTCTGTGAAGCTGCAGTCCCGTGAAACTTCTGTAAATCCCAGAATAAACGTTTAATAGACTTTCACCCTTTTAAAATGTATTATTTTATTATTTAGGTTGATAACAGATGTTAGCTGTTAGCTTTATGCTTAGGTTCATTATTTTATGTTGTGCTGATCACTTGCTTGTTTTTAGTGTGCTCAATAGCTATAAATAGCAAAAAACAAAAAAGGGATGTTTTTGCTTCTGTTGAATATAATTATTTTCCAATGGAAATCTATATTTTTTGCATATTATTCTATAACTGTAGTCTGCTACTGTTAAATGTTAAAAACATAATTTTATAAAATACATTATAATTACTTTTCATAACTTTATAATTGCACAAAATAAAGAAACCAGCTTAACAAAATCAGAGGTGGTGAAATCATTACTCATTGCTGTTTGACTAAATGAGAAGCAACAGTATCTATTCAGTTAATTGTCCTAATTTTCTTCTGTTATATGCCTACACATGGGTGACCCACAGTTTATTTCCCTGTCTCAACAAACTCATAAATCCATAGCTGTAATTAATATAGCATTGTTTGGTTTGATATCTAGTCGGGTAAGAGTAAAAGATTGTGACTTCCTCTGCTGTTGCTTCAGGTCTGAACTGAAATCACGTCAACAGTCGCTCGCCGTCGGCCTTAGAAACCACTGAAGGGAGGATATTGAGTTGATTGGCTGCACATCACTTCACACACATGAACAGACAGCAACACACACACACACATGCTTCCTGATGGCATGGGACCCCAGACATCTGCCCCTGCTGCACACACACACACACACACACACACACACACACACACACACACACACACACACACACACACACACACACACACACACACACACACACACACACACACACACACACACACACACACACACACACACACACACACACACACACACACACACACACACACACACACTGTCCAGTGACCTGCTTTTACATGTCACCCTCTGTTACATTGTCTGTCATGCAAACCTGTAGATGTTCTCAACATACACATTCATCAAGTCCAACACTGTATCATCATATGACACAGACACACACACACACACACACACACACACACACACACACACACACACACACACACACCACACACACACACACACACACACACACACACACACCACACACCCACACAACACACACACACCACACACACACACACACACACAACCACACACACACCACACACACACACACCACACACACACACATTGTGTCACTGTATATCAATTTTTTGTAGTGTAGTATCAAAGATAACTTGTAAATTAAATCAGACCTGATGTAAACAAACATATATTACCCATCAGCATAATAGAAGTGAACAAGATATAAAAAAGGGAAAATCAATTCAGGATCTACATATACAAATGTATGGTGCCTTGTGAATCAACCTTTATCCCTGGAAGCACATTGAGAATATTAAATACAGTTCCATGTGTTTTACATACAATTCCCCTAAAATGTAATCCACACCTGTAACCAACAATTGTACAATAATACACTTTCTCAAATCTGTCAGAAAGTTTACAATATATTCTTTTAAAATAAAAGTACAAATATATAAATGAATCAGTGTATGATGGTCGCCTCCTTTTCTGCCATCTCTCTCTTCAGTCGAGTCTCTAATAAAAAAAAAACCTTCTCCTAAATCAATTGATGTTCAAAAAATCAATTCTACAGCCTTAAAAAAACTAAAACTTTTCCCAAACAAAATAATAAGTCTATTACAGTCATAACTGTTACTGTAGAATGGAGGAACATGTTGCTCAATGAAAATCTTCAGTGCAAAACAAGTCTTTTGTGTCTCATGGAACAAACTGAAACAACATGAAAGCACAAGAAAAGGTGAAGCTGGTTGACTTTTTCTTTTCTTTTACTTAATTACTTCTCAAAAAATACTGTTTTGTGTAAGTGTTTGTTCTTTTGCCTGTTTGTTCAGAAAAAAATGGTTCTCTTCCAGTCACCACTTGCAGTGATGAAGAAAACAGAGGAGAATCCTGGACACACAACACACACCACACACACAACACCACAAGGCACCACACACACACCACACACAACACCACACACACACACACACACACAAACTCACCCCCGCAC